AGCCTAAGAGCTTGAATTTATACTTGGTTTGAAGTTGCTTACAGGCCGGACTAGTTCATCAATTTTTAAACATTATCTTCACATGTCAGACCTATAGAAGAGAAGATGACTAGCAAGGTTTATCATAAATGGATAAGTTTGGATCGAAACATTTCGATCCAAACCATTTTGGTCACGTTTCAAGTCCAACAAATGCGGCATTGTAGTTCCAACGGTGATGAAATCTCATTTCCAATTTTTCTTATCGGATCACCTATTCAAGATTTTTTTTTATTTCAGTTTTCTCCAAATTTATAGAAATTTTCTACGTAAAAACTACTTTCTTATTTAACCCAAAAAATTGATGCCATGAATCAAGTATGAGGGTCAAATTGTTCACATTCAATAATCCAATAGGCTTCCACGGCCATAACCATACACTTTTGTTTCCTTTAATTTTCTTAATGCTTGATTGATTCTATCATTTATTTTGAATTTCCTTGTGAACCAAGACCAATAACCTTATAGAAGATCTTTTATACCCTTCACTTGTAGTTCTTACTTAGCCACTGTATAGTATACTTTTCTTTATTGGAGACGCACCAAATCTATTCGATATCTTTTTCTTCCAAGATGTACATTTTAGCAAACAATATCGAGTGGTTAATTTACTAACATTTGGAAATATTTTCTCAAAACTAGATTGGAAATCAAATCTAATTTTTCGTGCTGAAACTTGGTTTGTGTGTCTTCTAATGAATTTTGTATAGTAAATAACCAAACATTACAAGAACTGTTTTAAAACAAAAAGAGATATATTATATGTAATATATCCATGAGAGAGCCCAAAGCAAGAAGAATCAAACGTAAACCAAACAAGGAAGTGGTTTAGGCAACAAAACGGCACCGTTTCCAGAACCTCCTTCAAACGCAACTTTCAATTTCCCACAAAACACCTTAAGACCTCTCTCACGAGACGACCAACCATCGGTCTTGAACGTAACCCAAACCGCCATTCTCAGATTAAACGACACCGTTCCGGTCTCTCTCTCTTTCTTCATCTCTTCTCCGACCCAACTCGGAACTTTCGGTTGGTCTTTCTCTCCCGCGGTTAAAGTCTCTCCGATCATAACCGATTTCTTCGTCTCAACGTAAACCGGTTGAAAAAACGCAGTCGCTAAAAAATCGTCTTCTCCAATCGCGTTATGGTTATATATAAATCCTTGGATTCGATCGAAATAGCCTTTCAATTTCGTGTTTTGATTCTCCACGGTGAGATTAGCGGTCCATTGGGCGGAGAAAACCGGACCGGTTACGTTGAAATTGGAAACCGAGAAATTGGTTACGGAGAAAGCCGGGATTTGAGGACGGTAGACTAGCCAGGTTATGGTGGTGGCGATGCAGAGGAATACGACTATTACAATTAAACCGGTTAAGATTCCTCTGAAGAAATTGGAAGGAGCTGGTCTTTGGTAAACCGGGTTTTGGTTGGGCGGGTAAGATGACCCGTAATAAGAAGCGGGTGGGGCTTGAGCGTAGGCGTATTGTGGGTGATTGTAAGGTGCGTTTGGATAACCTCCTGGGTAAGGTTGTTGATGGTAACCCGGAAAACCCATAACGGGTGGGTATTGTTGCGTTTGCGTTTGCGTTTGCGGTGGTGGTTGATTGGTATCGCCGCGTTCGGAGGTTTGACCCGGACCCGTACCCGAACCGGAATCGGTTTTGGGTTGTTGGGTTTCTTCTTCCGGAGGAGAAGGCATCGTTGTG